TTATTTAACTGTATTAAGTTCAATTCAGGAAGAACAAGAAGCGAGAAAGTATTCGATTTCGTATTTCCTTAGCAGAAAGACGTCGTATCACGGAATTTTAATGCAAAAATAAAACTTATTATCGTTAACAAGTTGCAGTTAAAAGCTCCAAATACGTGTTTTTCCATATACGTTTTTATTCAAATTATTACTATCTATCAATAAATGAATAATAAATAATAAATAGGTGTAAATAATAGATAATAAATAGTAATAAGTAATAAATAACAAATTTTATTACTATCTATCCTTTAAATAAGTAATAAATAAGAGGAGGTTAAAAAAGTTATATCTCTAAACTCAATTTATTTAACTGTATTAAATTCAATTCAGGAAGAACAAGAAGCGAGAAAGTATTCGATTTCGTACTTCCTTAACAGAAAGGGATGAAGGTTAATTCTTGGATTTGCGGGAAATTTCGTCAAATCGAGTCAATGAAAAGAATTAGGAAAATTATTTGAACAATAGAAGGCGACAATGGAAGATTGTTTCGCTCTTCGGGACACTTGGCCAAGAGTCTGGCCAAACTTTCCCCATCAATCCAACAAACCACCAATCACAAAGTACGTACGTAGTTATATACAAGTCTCGTTCATTAACGAGACTTCAACGATCGATTTTCGATTAATCTCCGACAACCGCATCGACACGAGGCAGGGGGAGAAAAAAAAACGACACGAGCTTCACCTTTGCACGCGATTTCGTGGCAAGCCTCGAATTTATTTTCCACCGCATGCGAAACGAAACAGCCTCTGAAAACTCTCTCATTTCGATTACAACTTCGAGAATTTCGTTTCGTGATTAATCCTTCTTCGAGTATTCTTCTATATTCGCGAGCAGTTCAAATCCGGAATTTCATTGTGAACGACAAATTTTCTTCCGTGAAATTATCACGGTTAAATGTCCGATTTCAGAGTATTTCCAAGATTCTATCGACGTATTAAAGTTTGCTTTTCGACTGTCGTAAGCGAATTCGAACGTGGCACACGTTTGGACATGGTACAGAATAATATTAGGTGAATAAATTTCTTTTTTTCTACACGATCGTTCTCATCGAATTCGAGAGAAATATTTAAAATATTAGAATGTTAGAAAGCTTAAAAAAAGAATATTAAAAATCTTCTATCTATTAAAAAAATAATTTGATAAATATTTTAAATAGCGATAATATTGATAGCGATTTTACTTTTACTTTATGAACTACGAAAACGTTGCAAGCGAATTAACTAGACATTCTTGTTGGAACTTGAATCGCAAAGCAAGGGGTTAATTATTAGATGTGCAAATAATTTCCTTCCCCTTTTTATCTACCATCGTAACTTCCGCTTGTGGCGCCATCTGAAAGATCGTTCTTATGTTTTTAAGAAAAATGGCGACGAGAGTTCTGTGCAACAATTTCGATATGGCGTCTCTCCAAGCTTAGGAAATCGGCTGTCGAAGCTACTGAAATGGTGGAAAAGTGACACCAAAGACTTAAATTTGGAAATTTTAATTCGAAAGATCGACGATCGTTCACCGAGAAAGTTGAGTCGACGATGAGTCAAAGGAATCGCTGGAGAATTGGCAGAAAGATTGGTATCTATCTGAAACAATCTCGATTTAATAAAATCTTGAATTTGGAAAAAAAGTAGAAAAGAACTTATTTAATATATGTATAAAATATCAAGGATTGATAAATAGATTTTTGAAGCTTAGAGACTTCATACTTGGAACGTCATTTATACTTGAATTAATCTTTGATCTTCGTTAAAGATTATCCCCAATTCAACACAACGAAGCGTAATCATTTCTACGCTATTCCTTCTTGAATTCCTCAACGACCCCCTCGACGATCGCGTTTTTCTCCAATCTTGGAAAATTTCGCGATATCATCATAAGCTCCAATGAAAACAAAATACAACGTTTCTCGAACGAAAGTTCAACTCGAACGTTTCCGTTGATTATTTTTTCGGGAGGAAGATCCGAAGAGTGGGTATCCTGTCACAGTGTCGCGTTACGATCCGACGAGGAGAAACGTCTCTATCGATTGCATACGTTTCTGGCATCTTTTCCTCGCGACACGTGACGAGAATCGCCTCCTCGGCTCTCCTCGCTTACGTTTTGAAGGGTGTTGGAATACTTGTTGTGTACGAAGGGTGATAAATGGATTACACACGCTTTGACTTTTTTAATACCTGCTTTCTGAAATCGTATTTCGATGATTTTAAGAAAAAATAATTT